TCTAAATCTTACAGATGGACACACAAAAATGTAAATAAATATTCTTCCAATATCTTAAGTAAAGGTAAAGGTTTTCCTTGACATTATTAAGTCCAGTTGTGTCTGACTCTGGGGAGTGGTGCTCATCTCCAATTCTAAGCTGAAGAGCAAGCATTGTCTATAGACACCTCCAAGGTCATGTGGCTAGCATGACTGCATGGAGAGCCATTACCTTTCTGCCAGGGCGGTACCTATTAATCTACTCACATGTGCATGTTTTCGAACTGCTAGGTTGGCAGAAGCTGGGCTTAACAGTGGGAACTCATCCCACTCCCCGGATTCGAACCGCCAACCTTTCAGTCAGCAAGTTCAGCAGCTCAGCAGTTTAACCTGCTGCACCACCAGGCGGCCTTTCCAATATCTTAGTAACAGAGATATAACATTAACAATCAAATGCTATACAGGATTTCCTTACAGAAGATGGTTAAACTCCAACATTGTATGTTTTTAAGTCACTTTCGACTCTAAGGTCCCATCTACACTGCCCTATAATACAGTTTGAAATGATTTAAATGGCAGTGCAGATGGGGCATAACATGAACCTTAAGGTTCAGAGAGGATTGGTCTGCCTCTGAGGCTGAGAGAATGTGACTTGTCCAAGATCAGCATAGCCAATCAGGGATTGAAATCTTGGCCACCAGAGTTGTTGTCCAATGCTCAAACACTACACCAGGCTGACTCTAAACACAACACACTACAGTCTAAAATTTAGGCCCTAAATATTTTCAGATAAGCAAAAAAAACTCCCACTATATTATCTAACAAAACCAAGGAACGGTTTTTTAAAATAAAAGTTAGTATTTAAGACTTGTTTGTAAGTAAATCCTTCTATCAGTTAAATATAAGATACTGGACAGCAGTTATTCTCTGCTGATAAGACATAGGTAATACATTTTAGAAGAATGCCTGTCATACCCACAATAGAAATGTTTGTTCTCTAAATCGTCCAAAGAACTGTTAATGCTATCTTCCTTTAAATCATACTTCCCACTCTTTCTGAATGTTCTAGCCCTAACAGAGCAGCAGCTTCCACCATACCTTAGTGCGTATTTTGTAATTTTCCAGTCAGACACAGTGAAGCTCAGAAATGCACTCTAGAAGCAAGTAAAATCCATCTCCCCAACTTTCACAGAGGAGACGCATTCATACACTATTGTTGTTACACACATCCCTTCATTGTTTCCATGTGGCTAGTGGAAAGACACAGGGACCTCTGGGATGCCTGAGGTTCCCCCATAAAAGGCATAAAGGGGCTAGCTGTTGACCACAGCAGTAGTTAAGATTCTCAAGATGGGTGTTAGGTTCTTCCTCTTGTCAATGACCCTGGGAAGGGAGTTTAGGAGAAACAAGGACAACTGTGTCCAGCTGCGCTGAACAACCCTAAACTAGCCAGCCTCAAAAGGAGAGAAAGCCATTTAGGGAGAAAAGCAGGATACAAATAAAGATTTATTATTATAATAACATGTACCCAAGGAAGGTCAGGAGGGGCACCATCATGCACATACTCAGTCCACAGATGGGACAACAATTAAGAGCTATGCACACTGCCTACCAACCTCACTTTCTCACATACTTTCTCACACATTCTGCTGCTGCTGCAGATGTCTAATGCTCTGGGCTTTATCCCAACCCCAGCCCTCCTCTCATACCCACATTTCTCTGCCCCACACAACTCTGTGTCGGCCCCCACACCCAGTTCTCCACTTCTGACCCAAGACTCATATCTGCCCTCTCTTAAACGCCCATGCTTTATAACTCATTAGATTTGGTGCAACTGCCGTTGTGACAGATGATAAAGCAGCAGTAGATAATGACAACAAACTGCCCTTTTAGAAGCATTCAGGTAGCCATGTCAGAGACATGGGGCTGGGGATTAAGTACAAACCTTGGGTTTGGCTAAAGTGCTACAATGATGATTAAATATCAATTTTATGTGTTCATTCTCTTTTTGGCCACGTTGTCCTACACTTGTTTTATTTCAAAGTACCGTGTATATTTGGTGGCACTATACAAATGATGATGATGATATCATATTTCTTCCATTCTAAGATTTTATTTTTTTTTGCATATGAACATTTCTAAAAATCAGCTGCATCTTAGAAAGGCAGATGCCATATATAGAGAGAGGGGGGGGGGCATCTTAGAATTGCAGACGCACTATATATATAGTGGTACTGAAATTAACGTGCATCTTAATAATCAATTGTGTCTTAGAATAGAAGAAATACAGTAATAATTTACTTTATGGTTTAAAAAAATCATACTAGTCCATTACTTAAGACAGTCAGCAAGTCCCAGTGGTTGGAGTGTTGCTTTATGAAAAGGGTTCATAATAATAATCATGTACCTTATGGTATAAAAAAACCTGTCTTCTTTCATGCTGAAGAGAGGCAGCATGGAGCAGTGGTTTCAATGAAAGCCTAAGCCTCTGGAGAAACCCTTCTTCATCATCATAATGTACATTATGGTTAAAAATTAGTCTTCTTTTAGGCTGGTCTATGACTGAAGTGACCCAGCATGGAGTAGTGGGTTTGAGTGTTGGACTACGACTCTGGAGAAAAGGGTTCATCACAATAATAATGTACTTTTTGGTGGTAGTAGTAGTAGTAGTAGTAGTAGTACCATATTTCTTAAATTCTAAGATGCACTCCCCTCCCAATATAAACATCTCTAAAAACAGGGTGCATCTGAGAATCATGGATCATGGGTGCTTTCATATTCTGTTGGCGGTATTGAAATGAACCTGCGTCTTAACAACCAATGAATTCTTATAATAATGTACTTTATGGTAAAAAAAAAAACAAAAAAAATGACTTCTTTTATGCTGATCTAGATTAAAGAGAGCCAGTGTCAGTTTCAGTGTCAGACTACAACTCTGGAGGAAATGGGTTCATGGTATTAATAATGTCGTACTACAATGAAGCCTGCGCCCTGCCACATGCACAATGGTGGGCCTTCTTATGGCAACACCTGGGGCACTCGAAGCAGTCAGCTTCTGATCAAAGGAAATCTAATATAATGCCAAGTTTTTAAAACTTGTGGTTTTTTATACATTCTAACTGTATTCTCAATTTGCTTCTGACATGATAAATATATATAAATATTTATAAAATGTGTGCAATGTGTTATGTTCATTCAATGTTTAATTTTTTACATTTTGTTGAGTTTTATAAGTTCATATTGAAATTATTCTATCCACTGTCTTTGATTTGTTGTTTGTCTGTTCTCCGTATTGAACATTTGCATTTTTGTCACTTTTGTTGGAAACTGCCTTGAGTCCCCTTGGGGAGATAGGACAGGTTACAAATTAAGTATTATTATAAATTAATAATGTGCCTTATGGTAAAAAATGATTTCTTTAATGCTGGTCAGTGAGTGGTTTGAATGTAAGACTAGGACTCTTGAGAAAAAGCTTCCTCATAAGAATAAGGTACCTTATGGTATATTATTGTTGTTGTTGTTGTTGTTAGATACACAACAAGATTATTACACAGCAAACAAGATCACTATGCTGGCTTTTGTATTTGACCACATGTTGGCCACTTCCCAAGTGTCTAGGACTGTGTGATGTATCAGTGAATAATATGTGCTGATCCGAGTAGGGTGGCCTTATGCAGCTGAAAGATGGTAATTTTGTCAGCGTCAATTATTTTTAAGTGCATGCCAAGGTCTTTAGGTACTGCACCCAGTATGTCAATCACCACTGGGACCACCTTTACTGGCTTGTGCCAGTCTTTGCAGTTTAATCTTTAAATCCTGATTTTGTGTAAGTTTTTCCAGTAGCTTTTTGTCCATTCTGCTGTTTTAAAAAGCTATATTTGCTAATGCTGGTCTATGACTGAAAAGAGCCAGCATGGAGTCGTGGTTTGAGCATGTGACTATGGACCCTTCCTGACAGGCTCTATATCCCAAGATCTGATCCCAGATTTTCTGCTTTATTTATTTATTTATGACATTTGCATGCCGCCCTTCTCACCCCGAAGGGGACTCAGAGCAGCTTACAAGTCATATGTACATAAAACATACTATATTATTAGCACAGTACTAATACATCATTCATAATATTATTATTATATAATATTATATTGTTGCTGGGGAAGGGGCTCTGATGTCGCAGGAGACAAGATGGCACTGTCTTCTCGGCTCCCTTCTTTACTCTGGCCCCAGAGTGGCCGTTGATGCTGAGGGAAGGGCTCTGATGTCCCCCTTCTTTACTCTTTAAACTGGATTATATGAGTCCCCACTGCCAGATAATCTGAGATAAACATAAAACCTAGGATCAGATCCTGGGATATTGGGCATATCCGGAAGGGCCTTATGGCTCTAGAGCCCAGGGTTTGAATTCCTCCCTGCTTGGCCATGGCAGCGCATTGGGTGACCTGAAGCAAGTGACAGTCTCTCGGCCTCACTCTGCGAACAATCCTTGACAGGAGGAAACCCCTGCGAGAAGGTCAGAAATTGCTTGGAAGTGTGAATGGTTGAATTGAACAGCAGTGCCTTGTGGGCCAGCACCACCCCTTCACCTCAACACTCAAAAACAAGGGGATTCCAGTCAAGAAACAATCAGGGCCAGCTAATCACCTCCCAACAAAGGATTCCCCCAGGCAGGAAGCAGCTGCAAGGTTATTCAATGCTAATCAAGATGATTAATTGCAGCATTCCCATTTGCCTCAAAGAGGACATTCCACAGATATATAAACCCCACCTGCCTAGTTTCCAACAGACCTCACAACCTCTGAGGATGCCTGAGAAACGTCAGGAGAGAATGCTTCTGGAACACTGGCCATACAGCCCGGAAAACTCACAGCAACCCATCCCCTCACCTCTTTCTTCCCGCGATACGAGGCGAGGGTTCTCCATGAGGCTGGCCTGCTTCCCCTGAACACACCTCAACGGGCGCCTCCTCACCCCACCCCCGCCGTATGTCACAGAGGGCCTTTCCGGCGGCCTGGGCGCCTCACCTGTCAGTGGAGGAGGCCCCGCTGCCTTCGCCCTCCTCCTCCTCCTCTTCCTCCTCCTCGCGCACGCAGCTCGCGCTCCCCAGCCCCAAAGCCGCCCAGCCAGTTCCGCATCAACAGCCCAGGGAGGAGGAGCGAACCAACGCGACGGAGAGGGGAGGAGAGGGGGAGGCGGAACGAACCATTCAGCGCCTGGCGGGGGGGGGGAGGGTATGAGGGCTGTGCGACGCCGAGGAGGAGGAGGAGGAGGAGGAGCCTTGAGTACCAAGGCCAGCGCATCCCTCGCGCACAGGGGCCAGCCGTCAAGGCAAGCAAGCCAGGCAAAACTACTGTGGAAAAACACTCAAGCAGGACAACCCAGACATCATTCTCCCCTGGTTTCTGCTACTGTACCCTACCACACAGCCCTATAATAATAATAATAATAATAATAATAATAATAATAATAATAATAATAATAATAATAATAATAATAATAATAATAATAATAAACAAGGAAGCTGATGAAACCATGGACCATCTCCTCAGCTGTTGCAAGAAAATCGCACAGACGGACTACAAACAGAGGCAGTTGACTGGCTTGTGCCAGTCTTTGCAGTTCGATTTTTAAATTCTCATATCGTGTCTGCTTGTGAGATCAGGAGTATTATGCTCCAAAACTCTGTCTGTCTGAATCCAGAAGTCCCAGAGGAGTTTGGCATGTTCATTCTCTGTAACTTTTTCCAGCTTGTGATCCCACCAGTTCTTTGCTGCGGGCAGATGGTACTTGTGGCACAAGTTCCAATGAATCATCTGAGCAATGGTGTTGTGCCTCTGCTTCTAGTCTGTCTGCACAATCTTCTTGCAGGAGCTGAGGATGTGATCTATTGTTTCATCTGCTTCCTTGCAAAGTCTACATTTGGGATCTGTTGTCGACTTTTCAGTTCTGGCTTTGATGACTTTACCTGCCCAGAAAATCAGGAGGCAGAGGGCTTCTGCAAGTGAAACAAACGGTAGAAGAAGAGAAACACGCCCTGGCAGATTATGTGAAAGGCAGTCAAGAAGCAACACTGAGGGGAAGTCAATAGTAGTAAACTGCTTAAAGTGCAAAAGACAAAAAGGGAATACTGTAAAAACACAATCCAGAGCAGAAGAGAAAACTGGCAAAAGAAGGCTCTCCATGGACAGTTCCTGGGGAAAAAATGAGAGCCAATTTGACAAAGAAAAAACAAAACTGTGGCTCACAAATAGAACTCTGAAAAAGGAGACAAAGGGACTGATTCTGGCAGCCCAAGAACAAGCCATTCAAAACAATGCCATCAAAGCCAGAATTGAAAAGTTGACAACAGATCCCAAATGTAGACTCTGCAAGGAAGCAGATGAAACAATAGATCACATTCTCAGCTGCTGCAAGAAGATCATGCAGACGGACTACAAGCAGAGGCACAACACCGTTGCTCAGATGATTCATTGGAACTTGTGCCACAAATACCATCTGCCTGCAACAAAGAACTGGTGGGATCACAAACAGGAAAAAGTTACAGAGAATGAACATGCCAAATTCCTCTGGGAATTCCAGATTCAGACAGTCAGAGTTTTGGAGCATAATACTCCTGACCTCACAAACGTGTTAAAAAACAAAGTATGGATCATTGATGTCGCAATCCCAGGTGACAGCAGAATTGCCGAGAAACAACTGGAAAAGCTGACACAATATGAGGATTTAAAGATCGAACTGCAAAGACTGGCACAAGCCAGTAAAGGTGGTCCCAGTGGTAATCGGCACACTGGGTGCAGTGCCTAAAGACCTTGGCCTGCACTTAAACACAATCGGCGCTGGCAAAATTACCATCTGCCAGCTGCAGAAGGCCACCTTACTGGGATCTGCATTATTCGCCGATGCATCTCACAGTCTTAGGCACTTGGGAAGTGTCCGATGTGTGATCCAATACAACAGCCAGAAGAGTGATCTTGTCAACTGTGAACTCATCTTGTTGTGTTTCAAATAATAATGAGGAGGAGGAGGAGGAGGAGGAGGAGGAGGAGATGAAGCAGCAGCAGCAGCAGCCATATTACTATTATGTCCTGCTCACTGTCCCCCTACCATCACAATCACAGTTGTTGGGGACAAGAGACAGGGCCCTCTCCGTGGCGGCCCCTTGGCTATGGAATTCCCTCCCAAGTGAAATCAGATCTGCTCCGTCCCTCCTGACGTTCCGGAAAAAAGTGAAATGCTGGCTCTGGGATCAGGCCTTTGCGGGTTAATTTGACTTGATGGCAAAGCTATGGTTTTAGTGGACTCAGATAGACTGTTTTTAGGATGCCAGCTTAAATTGTCAATTGTTTTAATGTTTTTATAATGTGTTATGCTGTTTTTACTTGATATGTATACCTATGTTTTTTTGTTGTTAGCAGTCCTGAGTCCCTCTGCGGAGGTTGATATGGGACAGGATATAAATGTCCTAAATAAATAAATACCCCAGAAGATCAAGGCAGATAATCCACGCTGCTGCTGAATATGCATGCCCAAGGTGGAATGCATCTCACCACATTAAAATAGTGGATGTGGCTCTTAATGAGACATGCCGAAGGAGCCAGGCATGCTAGCCACATGACCTTTAAGGTCATGTGAGAGCTGTTCGGCAGTGGAACTCTCTGCCCCGGAGTGTGGTGGAGGCTCCTTCTCTGGAGGCTTTTTTTAAACAGAGGCCGGATGGCCATCTGTTGGGGGTGCTTTGAATGTGATTTTCCTGCTTCTTGGCAGAGGGATTGGACTGGATGGCCTACAAGATCTCTTCCAACTCAATAATTCTATGATTCTAGGTGCTATCAATTTCTTTTTTTTTTCCTTCCTCCTTTTTTGATCACAATGATAAGGAGCTATGCAATAGTTCACTTTCATATTAACTTCTTTTCCTTCACAATCTTGAGTATCTCTTTTTTTGAAATAATAAACTCTGAAGCACAATTCTAGAAGTTTTTTTATAACAGCCCACATTCTGTATTAGACTTTATTCTTTTGCGTGAGCATTAACATTTTTGCAAACAGTTAAAACACAGAATTAAAAGTCTGCAATTGCAAGGTGTTATACAAAAAAGATTTTAGAAATTGTTACAAGTGCTTTACAGAATAAAGGCCAGCAAAGAGAGAACAACTTCAAGTGCAAAATAGACACAAGGCCAATGACACTGGTATGGCACTTGCTGCAGAATCAACAATCATATTGGTTCATGGGCCCACGCTCTCAGAAGGCTATCCGTATATCCTAACAAATAATGGAACATATACTCCTAAAACACCAAGGAATCTAAGAGTTAACTCCTGGCATTAAATAAGGTGGCATTTAGACATAGGAAGACAATAGAGAAGATATATCTGGATTTACTGGCAGATCTCCAAATGATTTCCAATCAATTGGCAAGGACTTCTGACTTTCAACTTTTTGATTAAGCAGAAACAAAACTTCCCTCTGTTCTAAACCATACTACTGAAATGAAGGAAGCCAAGAGCAACAAGGAATAAAATTCCACATAGTAGGGATGTGAGCCCTTTTTGTTAAAGGTAAATGAATGTATGAGCTCAGATTGTTTTAGCTGTTAAGTGTGATAGCTTTTGCACCAAATTTCAATTGATGATTCTCTGATTTCTAGTATAAAAAGAAGGGGAAGGGGCAATTCCACAAGCTTCATGTATGCCCAATTCTGCTCCAACAGTCTTATGTATTCTTTGTTTATGTATTGTTCATCCTGTCAATTGTATAACAGCATTGAATGTTTGCCTATATGTGTTCTGTATAAAGTTTGTACACTGCTCTGAGTCCCTTGAGGGGTGAGAAGAGCGGGATAGAAATGATGTAAATAAATAAATAGCCTGAACTAAATAAATAATCCAAACTATGATTAACTCTCTACAGCCTCAAACTGTAAATATTAAACTCTTTATGGGTAAAAAAATACCCTCCAAAGGACCATCAATAAACAACTTGACAAATTTAAGGTAGAAACAGAGAGGTAATAAACATACATTTCAGAACAGATGAGAGCCCCTTAAGAAACACTGACATCCTTTGATGTTCCACACAAATTGGATTCTATTATTTTAGACAATGTTAAGAGCAAATCTTCAACAGGTATTTTTGGCAGTGAAAGTATTTTTTCAGTGGGGAAGAGAGAACATGCTTGACTTTTCCCAAAAAAAGTTTCATCAGCTACGTTTCCTTCCACATATGAATTCCATGTGTATAGTTAGCTTGCAAACACATGTCTGCAACATCACAAAGAGAAAGTAGTTTAGGAGGAGAGTTAGGAAAACTGTGGTAGGGCAAGGAATGGTGACTGGATTTGCTTCTGTAATGCATCAAAATGTATCAAAACATCCCAGGAATTTATATCTTGGGGCAAAAAATAGTAGAATTAGGAAAAATTGTAATAGATTTATATGATACAGGGCCATTCCAAAAAAGGCAATAAAATGGCATGTATGGCTCTAGCTTGCAGAAAGAGATGAAATGAAGAAAACACCACAAAATACCACAAATGTAAACTATTATTTGAAAGGTTAACGTGTGTTAGTCAGCCCAGAAAAACTCCTATGAAGTTACAAAACATGGATACGGAGGGAGGCTTGTTTTTGATAGTCCAGGAAAGCTGTGTGTGTCTGGATGGTGTGTCCTTGAAATGAAACTCAGAGAAATTATGTGAAAGGAGAAAGGCACTGGAAAAATTAGTAGGTTGAATTCTTCATTTCTGCTATGTTGAGGTTTTTCAGTTGTTGTCACATTACTCAAAGACTAAAGCATCACTGGGTCCACTTCGTTTCCCTTCTACATTGTCTCTTCAGAGCAAAGAAACCGCAGGACTACGTCCACATCACTTCCACATTTTAGAGAAGAGATGACAGGCTCTTGTTAGCAATAGGTAAATGGCAGAGCTCCTACAGAAGGTCACAGCCCTGAGACAGTGTGGTCATTCATTCACATCCCAGATCTCTGAAAGAAGTGGTGGAAGCTTCTTGTCCTGTAGCCGAAGAGCAAACACTTGCTCAGAATGAACGCTACTTAAAGTCCGAAGACTGACCAGTTTCATTAACATCCGTGGAAACATTAGATGATCCTGTAAAGTTGCACGCAAAAGGGTATTAATATCACAAAAGCCATTTGTCATTTTCAGCTTGCTATCTGCAAAGACGGATGATTAATACTTTCCCTTGAGGGTCATAAGATAGTAATGCATTTTACACAGCAAAAGTGATAAATACTATTACATCTATGACTATCCCAGTCAAATAATTTAATTCATCACAGCTGCAGTAACACCAGCAATTGGCAATGCTTTTTGTACTCAGAACAAATTTTAGAAATTCTAGGTATTTGCATAAACTCCTTGGAATACTTTGCATAATGAATTCAAATCTCAGCATCTGAGGGTTTCTTTTTCTTTTTTAATGGTACTTTTAAGAACTGGGCGAAGAAAGCAAATAAGCAACTAGGTGGTCAATAGTTAAGAATAAGGAACTAATTAGGTGTTATGTTAGGAACTAGAAAACCTGAGCAAGACAGAGAATTTGATCATTTTGAGGACAAAAAAAAACATGTCCATTGAACTCGCAAATTTAACAATATTGTTTCCCTTCCTGCTGTCACTTGTCATCTCTAACTACAAGGACTTTGCTTCAAAGGCTATAATCAGCACCCAGCATCAAACAGCCGGATAGCTCCAGGCAGTCCCTGAGTAGGCATTTATTAGGTCTATAAATAAGAACCCATGTCCTTTCTCTTCCTTCCTTTCCTTTCATTCATAGCACTATCTAAATGCTATAAAAAAGAAAGGGGATAACAACTCAGTAACACAGAATCATAGAGTTGGAAGAGACCTCATGGGCCATGCAGTCCAACCCCCTGCCAAGAAGCAGGAAAATTCCATTCAGAGCACCCCAGACAGATAGCCATCCAGCCTCTGTTTAAAAGCCTCCAAAGAAGGAGCCTCCACCACACTCCTTTCATTCATAGAACTGACTAAATGTTATTAAAAAATAAAGTTGGTAACAGCTCAGTAACGGAACTGGGGGACATATTTTGGGCTTCCTTGGTTGCTTCCAGATGACAATCTTCCATCATATTCTTACTGCTTGGGGGATAATGGGAGTTATAATCCAAAACAAGGGATTTTTAGTTTCTACTCAGCAGTGCTGAATGCAGAATGTCCCCTCTCCAATACTTAGCATTTTATCTTCAGTTAGACTAGGGTTTTAAGTAAAGGGGCTGGGAAATATCCTTGCCAGGCAGCACAGCCTGGATTAAACAGACCAATGGTCAGCTTCATACATAAACAAGAGCATTTGTTTAATGATGTTGGTCATACAGCCAATTTTGTATAAACATTCTTTCTAAGACACAGAGCAATGCAAACTTTATCAGAATTTAGCTGAGACACTTACGTTTGGTCTGTGGATACAGATATAAGAATGAAGGGCTTCTACATAGGTATGTTGCAGTCTTTCCACAAGGTGCTGGTTTTGAACATTTGGCCTGTCTGTAAATAAGCAGGGTTCAGCTTTATGAATATGTATACGAGAAAGTACATTAGTGTCCAGAGCTCCCAAGTTTACTACCACTTTCAGAATCTGAACTCCCTAGTTGTTTCTGAGGGTCCAAAAATGTGTATTTCAAGCCACAGACTTCAATGTTATGCTGCTTCTCAAGTCCAGACCACAATTTCTGATGCATCATACAGCTTAGAAACAAAACAGAGATGAACTCCTGTGGCAAGATACCACATTTCCTGTAGCGTATCCATGTTGAAAAATGGTTTTGGCTGCAAGTGACTCAGCCAAAGCCAAGTACCTTTAAGGCCCATCAGTTTCAACAGAAGAAATAAGCAAAAGCTAAGTGCTAATGGATCCAAGTGGTTAAGAGGCTTAAGGTGTGAACCAGGATGTCACTATTCAAATCCCGCCTCTAAGATAGATAGCTTTATACAAGCTTCTCCCTCTCAACATTAGTGCACACACCCCATCCAGCAATACAGGGATAAATATATTCAACCTTATACTGAAAATTTTGCTGAGACCTCTGCATTACCATGAACAAGCAAGTATGTTTGTGCACCAGTATTTACTCTCTCCTGCTTCCAGACAGCAGAGTTGACTAAACAAACCAGAAAATCTCTATCTGTGGTTTGTTTAGTATTACATTTGAATCATATTTTCTCACTTGTTATCAAGTCAAAATTATAAGTCAAGGTTTGTTCTTGGCTTAAGACTCTGGCTTGTCAGGGGGGAAAAATCCAAGGAAAGATTTAAATTCAGACATCCAGTGCTTTGCAGACATATTCATTCCCCCCTTGACTTTTTCCACATATTATTGTATTCCAACCTGGAAATTAAATGGATTGTGTACACAATTGCACGCAAGATATTCAACACTGTAATGAAACAAGTACACATTTTTACTGTTGCCCAGAAGTTAAAAGTAAACAGAAACAAACCTCTAGGTTGTATAACCATTCACACACACATATCCATACAAAATTTATTTATTTATTTATTTATTTATTTATTTATTTATTTACTTCACTTGTATACCGCCATTCTCAGCCCTAAGGCGACTCATAGCGGTTTACAACAATCGAGCACAAACAAAGCGAACAGTCAATGCAAAAATTCAATGCGGTATCAACAGGTAATTAAAAACAGTTAACACAGAAACAAGTTAAGCAATTAACAATAATAGACAATCAATCAATTGGCGTCTCATAACTAGAATCATGATCCAAACTCGTCAGTCGTAGTTCCATTTCCTGAAATTCATTGCACTTTTTATTCAAACGCCTGTTCGAATAACCAAGTCTTCACTCTTCTCCGGAATACCATCAATGAGGGGGCCAATCTGATGTACGTGGGCAGGGCGTTCCACAGCCGAGGGGCCAACACCGAGAAGGCCCTGTCTCTCGTCCCCGCCAGCCGCACCTGTGATGCAGGCGGGATCGAGAGCAGGGCCTCCCCAGACGATCTCAAAGTCCTCGTGGGCTCATAGGCCGAGATGCGGTCAGATAGGTATCTTGGGCCAGAACCGTTTAGGGCTTTATAGGCCAACGCCAGCACCTTGAATTGAGCCCGGTAGCAAATCGGCAGCCAGTGGAGCTGGTACAACAAGGGGGTTGTATGCTCCCTGCGTCCTGCTCCTGTTAGTATCATGGCTGCCGCACGTTGGACCAGTTGAAGCTTCCGGGCCGTCTTCAAAGGCAACCCCACGTAGAGAGCGTTGCAGTAGTCTAAACGGGATGTAACCAGAGCGTGGACTACCGTGGCCAAGTCAGACTTCCCGAGGTACGGGCGCAGCTGGCGCACAAGCTTTAGCTGTGCAAATGCTCCCCTGGTCACCGCCGAAACCTGGGGTTCCAGGCTCAGCGATGAGTCCAGGATCACACCCAAGCTGCGAACCTGCGTCTTCAGGGGGAGTGCGACCCCGTCCAACACAGGCTGTAACCCTATACCCTGTTCGGCCTTGCGACTGACCAGGAGTACCTCTGTCTTGTCTGGATTCAGTTTCAATTTGTTAGCCCTCATCCAGACTGTCACAGCGGCCAGACATCGGTTCAGGACTTCGACAGCCTCCTTAGTAGCAGGTGGAAAGGAGTGACAGAGTTGGACATCATCTGCGTAGAGATGACACCGTACTCCGAAACTCCGGATGATCTCTCCCAGCGGCTTCATGTAGATGTTAAACAGCATGGGAGACAGTATTGAACCCTGAGGAACCCCACAAGACAAACGTTGTGGGGTTGAACAGGAGTCTCCCAATAACACCTTCTGAGACCGACCCTCGAGGAATGAGCGGAGCCACTGCAAAACAGTACCTCCAAGACCCATCCCCGCGAGGCGTCCCAGAAGGATACCGTGGTCGACGGTATCGAAGGCCGCTGAGAGGTCCAGCAGCACCAACAGGGACACACTCCCCCTGTCGAGCTCCCGGCGCAGATCATCCACTAAGGCGACCAAGACTGTCTCAGTTCCATGCCCCGGCCTGAAACCAGACTGTGCCGAGTCCAGATAATCCGTGTCGTCCAAGAATACCTGGAGTTGTGAGGCCACCACACGTTCCAGGACTTTGCCCAAAAAGGGAGATTGGAAACTGGCCGAAAGTTGTCGAATTTAGTGGGGTCCAGTGATGGTTTTTTCAACAGCGGTTTTATTATAGCTTGTTTTAAGCTCGCTGGAATCTTGCCTTCCCGAAGGGAGGCATTAACCACCACCGTAATCCACTCAGCCAATCCCCCTCTGTCTTTTAGAAGCCAGGATGGGCAGGGGTCTAGGATGCATGTGGTAGGCCTCATTCCTCCAAGTATCTTGTCCACATCCTCGGGTTTCACCAATTGAAATGAATCCATCAAAACTGGACAAGCAGGTGCTCGTGTTACATCCTCAGAGACTGCCTTTAACATGGTATCCAGACCAGAACGGATCAAAGCGACTTTGTCTGCAAAGAACCGAGCAAAAGCTTCACAGCGAGTGGCCGAATTGTCAGGGCTCCCACTCTGGGTAGTGGGATTCAAAAGGCCTCTGACAACTCGAAACAGTTCTTTGCGGCTTTTATTGCCGCGGCATATGCCCTTAAAAAGGACACAAACCGTGTTCGATTTGGCTCGCTCGGATCCGAACGCCACACGCTCTCTAGTTCCCTCTTCTTTCGCTTCATCGCTGCCAGCTCCTCAGTAAACCAAGGAGCTGGTTTAGCTCGGCTACTTGAGAGGGGGACGTTCTGGAGCGATCGTGTCTATTGCCCTAGTCATCTCCCCATTCCAGAGAGCGACTAGGGCGTCGACAGGATCACCTACCGAGGGGGCGGGAAACTCCCCAAGAGCCATCAGAGGCAATGGGGGCAGTTTGGCATAAATTACAGCTGCAGCTCGTCTATAATGGCTTTGTAATCTGTATTGTGAGTTTTCCCCATTTGTTTGGACAAAACCGTTCCACTTTTATCATACTGAATCAGTACCATTGGTGATCAGCCAATTTTGAGTCAGCCACAAATTCCCAGTTGGTTATAGCTCTGGGTTTTGACAGCACCATTCTAAGAGATTCGGGTAAGTGGTTTGCAATCAGTCCAGAATTACTTTGGTTATGTATTTACAGTCACTGTCCTGCTGAAAAGTGAAACCTACACTCCAGTCCCATGTCTCTTTCAGATTAAAAGGAGTTCCCCCCTAAAATGACCCTAACTTTAAATCCATCCATCTTACCCTTAATGCCTAGCATGATTCTATGGTCAACTTCTGTCAGAATTGTGCTGAGTAATGTACAAATGCCTAGGTTAAGGGTCCCCAAACTAAATCCTGCAGGCCAGATATTCAGCCCTCCAAGGTCATTTACCTGGCCCCCACCCTAAACTGAAATGACTTGAAGGCACACAACAACAATCCGAATTAACTTGGCTATCTCATCTGCCAAAAGGGTTGAAATATTGATAGGTTTATGGTGGTTAAAATTGATCTTCATTTTAAATATTGCATTGTTCTTTCATGTCTTTTTGCATTACAAATAAGATATGTGCAATGTGCATAGGAATTTACTTGTGTTTTTTTCAAACTGTAGTCTGACCCCCCCCCCCCCTCAATAAACTGGCCCTCTGTTGAACAGGTTTGAGGACCCCTGGATTAGAGTACTGAATTCATTCCTTTGATGGCTTGGATTACTTGAGTCTCCCCCCCCCCCCCCCCCCCCCCCCCCCCCCCGCCTCGTCTGATGGACTGTGAACTGCCCCTCAGCTTAAAAAGTTTGAAGACCCCTGTCCTTGGGGGGTGACCTCTCACATTTGCTATTTTTATTTTTATTTGCATTTTGCTGGGATCCTATGCCTTTAACAAATGTAGAGAGAATTGTGTACTGTTGGGTGTGCCTTCCCCATGTTTGCTGTGCCTTCCCACATGCATTTTGATACATATTTGTTTCAGAAATGGCTTTTTTCACACCAATCCTCTATAAAGACCAGCTTTTTGGTTACTTTTTTTTTTTTGCCACAATAAAAATGCTTTGCATCTTCACAGTGCTGAGTATCCAGTGTCCAGTAATTAAATTGAATCCATTTAAATATAAAGTTCTAATACAACAAAATATCGAAAAGTCAAAAGGGGGAGTGCAATTTATTTGTTTATCTATCCATCTGGGAGACCAAGTTTCAAATTCCCTCTTGGCCACACTCTCTCATCCTCAGAGGAAGGCAAGAACAACCCCCTCTGAACAAGTTTTGCCAAGAAAGTCCCCTGATATGATCACCTTAGAGTTGCCACAATTCATAAATGACTCAAAGGCAAACAATAACAATAACAATAACAAGGTCTCACTCCCCCCCCCCCCCATGGGATGCAAACCAAAATTTTATAATCATGAAGGCTGTTGGAAAAAATGCCTTACATTTGAGTTTAGTATCAGTAAATGCTAGCAGTCTTTTGTCAATGAACTATAAACTTCCTTGTTCAGTTATTTCCATTGTAAACATGTCCAACAACCTCTGCTAGAGAGAATCTGGCTCATTATACTTGGTTTTACTGAGCTCTGGAGACATTGCAGTGGTAATGTTTTGTAATTAAGTGAGTTGATTTGGGTGTCCACCTCTCCTGATTTTTAATGTCTCTTATGTAGATGCAAGCACCAGGGAATTGTAGAGGCTCTGTGAACCGAAGCAATACTTGAACTAAGGTGATAACAATGCAAATTAAATCCATTTCAGTTCCAGGTTGTAACATAACGATGTGGAAAATTTAAAGAGTGGGAGTGAATCCTTCATTCAGGCACTGTAGCGTTAAACAGCCAATCTGCTAGCAGGAGTGTTCAGTCAGCACGCACAGCTGCTTCCAGCTACCATTCTCAGGAACTGGATTTATCGTGGTCTATAGTCTCTGTTTTTATATTAGGGGCTTCCATAGGAATGTATCTCAATGTTCTAATGTTCTCATGAAACAAATGTATTTCCCCTCTAGGTCTTCAATGACATCATAGTAGAGAGTACGACTGTAGTCTGGATGTGGCAAAGCAAGGATCTATTTTGAAATTATATAACAGTCTTCAAAAATACATCTGCTCACATTTAAATTTTAAAGTAGCAACTACTGGGCTGGGCTTTGGCACAGCGGATTAAACCACTAGCTGTAGGAAATCTTGCCGATCAAAAGGTTGGCAGTTCAAGCCCAGGTTGGGGTGAACTCCCACTGTCAGCCCAGGATCTGCCCACCTACTAGATCGAAAAACATGAATAGATAAATAGGTACTACTTTTAGGTACCCATAAGAACATGCTGGCGATTCGATCGGGAAGATGTCTACGGACAATAAAACTCCTTGGCATACAAGATGGAGTGACAGCTCCACCTTGTGGTCGGAGTTGAGCACAGCCTCAAGATGCCGGAGATGGAAAAGATGGGAAAAGCCTATACCTCTGTTTATGTATTGTCTGTCCTTGTTAACAGCATTGAATGTCTGCCGAATATGTGTTCTGTAATCCGCCCTGGGTCCCCTCAGGAAGATAGGGTGGAATTTGTTGTTGTTGTTCATTCGTTCAGTCGTTTCCGATTCTTCGTGACCTCATGGACCAGAGCTCCCTGTCGGCCATCACCACCTCCAGCTCCTTCAAGGTCAATCCAGTCACTTCAAGGATGCCATCCATCCACCTTGCCCCTGGTCGGCCCCTCTTCCTTTTTCCTTCCATTTTCCCCAGCATAATTGTCTTCTCTAAGCTTTCCTTTCTTCTCATGATGTGGCCAAAGTACTTCATCTTTGCCTCTACTATCCTTCCCTCCAATGAGCAGTCGGGCTTTATTTCCTGAAGTATGGACTGGTTGGATCTTCTGGTGCTCCAAGGCACTCTCAGAACTTTCCTCCAACACCATATCTATCTTCCTTCACTCAGCCTTCACTATGGCTCAGTCTATGGTCCAGCTCTCACATCCATATGTGACCATGGGGAATACCATTGCTTTAACTATGCGGATCTTCGTTGCCAGTGTGATGTCTCTACTCTTCACTATTTTATCGAGATTGGACATTGCTCTCCTCCCAAGAAGTAAGCATCTTCTGATTTCCTGACTGCAGTCTGTGTCTGCAGTAATCTTTGCCCCTAGAAATACAAAGTCTTTTACTGCCTCCACGTTTTCTCCCTCTATTTCCCAGTTGTCAATCATTTTTGTTGCCATAATCTTGGTTTTTTTATGTTTAACTGCAACACAGCTTTTGTGCTTTCTTCTTTCACCTTGATTAGGCTCCTCAGTTGCTCCTCGCTTTCGGCCATCAAAGTAGTGTCATCTGCACATCTAAGGTTGTTAATGTTTCTTCCCACAATTTTAACTCCAGCCTTGCATTCGTCAAGCCCCGCACATCGCATGATGTGTTCTGCACGCAAGTTGAATAGATTGAGTGAAAGTATACAACCCTGCCATACGCCTTTCCCAATCTTGAACCAGTCTGTTGTTCCATGGTCAGTTTTTACTGTTGCTACTTGGTCCTTATACAGATTCCTCAGGAGAGAGACAAGGTGATTTGGTATGCCCATACCAACAAGAACTTGCCACAATTTCTTATGATCCACACAGTCAAAGGCTTTAGAATAGTCAATGAAGCGGAAATAGAATGGAATATAAAAACTGTACATTATTATATTACTGTTGCCCCATTTTATTTTCACAGTGAGTTCCTTCAGTTATTACTTCTACTCTCAAAGTCTGGGGGCATATGCAATTTATATGTCAGAGATTGTGATAAACTAACATGCCTACATTTCCAACCCCACTAAAGAATCATAGAATCATGTACTTGGAAGAAACCACAAGAACCATCCAGTCCAACCTCCTGCCATGCATTTGTTCTATGACACAGGGCAAGTTGCAAGATAACCTTGGTCCATCCCTAAGAGACAGTGACAGCACCGCACACCACATATATGTATTGAAATAACAAACAAACAAAAAACAGAAAAATTCAGAAATAGACATCTGCTTTAAAATATAATCATCAGAAACATCTACTAAACTAGCTGTTATCAAAATCCTAAAGACAGTCCAGCAAATCCTATTACCAGAGAGTGGACAGGACAAGACTCGACTCCCTGGTATAGTACAGCTCTACCTTGTCTCTTTGCTACTCAAGCAAAAAGAAAAAGAGCAAAAATATTTCTATGCAGGCTTCAGAAGGAAAAATTCAAAAACACAAATCAATAGCTTTAGTAGACTTGAATCTGCAAAGCCCATGGCTGAGGCTGACTCAGCTGAGAATGTGCATAGAAATGCAAATCTGAGTCTACAGCTGCCTGCTCATATTCTTTATTTAGAACTATTTCTAGAAAGGATGGTTTGGTTTGTTGCCTTGGATGGTTGACAAATTGCAAAGACCTATGCTGCAAAATGTGAATTAGTATGCACAGTACAAACTGCTATTCAGCACTAATAATAGGATCCTGCTGAATGATATATATGGGTGTACATACATTTCCAATTATTAGAAAAGTCCCATGCTCAGACACATGAACATATCTTTCCTATCTTTAATTCACACTTTAATTCACTATCAAGTCATTCCACATCTTCCCACAAATCTTACCTGCAGAAAAAATGCTGATGGCAATTAGAAGTGCGTATTCAGCATCATTAAGCTGCAAATCATTCATTCCCTTTGAAAATCCAAAAATGGGGTTAATGAATTCAAACTGAAGGCCTGTAAGGCAAATGCAAAGAACAAGATGTTAAAAAAGAAAAGTATTTTGCACATTGAAAATGGAAAAACGGTACCAGATGAGCAATGTTGATGGGGCCTATTCTAAATTAAATAGATACTTATTTAGTGAGGAAAGAAACTCTCTCCCCATATTTGGCCTTCTTTGTTTTTCTCTCATTATGTCTGTTTTGTTCAAAATGAAATCTACATAATATATAGTATTAGTCCCACTTAGAATTAGAATCATAAAATGTATTGTGGAAGGCTTTCCTGGCCAGAATCACCGGGTTGTTGTGAGTTTTCCTGGCTGTATGGCTATGTTTCAGAAGCATTCTCTCCTGATGTTTCATCTGCATCTATGGCAGGTATCTCTCGATTCCACCACATCATCAAGCATGGTTGATGGGGATGAGACAGAGGGCCTTCTTGGTGGTGGCTCCCTGGCTCTGGAATACCCTCCCAAAAGAGATTAGGTTAGCCCCACCTTCCAATCCTTCTGACCCAGCCTAAAAACATGGATGTTTAAACAGGCCTTTGAGTATGCTGTAATTTGCCTATATGAGGTCGATACTCTGGCACTTTAGTTTGTGAATTGCTGGCAGCTAGTTTTACCGACCCGTGTTCTGCATTTAAAATTGAGCAATTTTATTTTATGTTATTTGAGTTGTAGTGGTTGTTGTTATAATTTTATGTGCTTTGGTTTTATATTTATGTACCATTTTATGTTATATGCTGCACCATGGAGTGCCATTGTAAGCCACCCCAAATCCCTCCAGGGTGATGGTGGTGGGATACAAATAAAGTTTATTGTTATTATTATTATTATTTATCTTTGGTTGAATTCCTTGTCTAAAAAACACCATGACATACATGGGATTGTCGTATGTTGACAGCTGACTTGACACACAAACACATAACCTACAATATCAAATTCTGACTTCTACAGGAACAAAACCTAAATTTTATTTGTAAATGCAGAAAGGACTAAATAACCCCATAGTGAAGGGAAAAAAGTTGTTACTTTGAATAGTGTTTAACTCACCAGCTTTGGCAAAGTCATTTCGATTATAGCTCAAATCCTTCAAAAAAGTGATACTTTCAGTTTCTGGACTGTAGCGCCGAGATGTCTCTAACAGCATCACCTTTAGCAGAAGAAACAGAAGAAATCTCACTGGTGACTGCAATGGCCACTTCTGATAAGAGTCTTGATAAAAGGCAGGCAGCTCTTACCTCTATTGTAGATGTCTTCAGAAGAGCAATCTGATCTTCCCTGGTAAGCTCAAGGAAACCTGGCAACTGCTTAGCAAAGTCCACAATCTCCTGCACAGAAAGGATTGCAAGCTCCGTGAAATGAGCAAACCGTTGCTGCCGTGCTTCACGATGAAGGGGATCTGAAATTTGAGGCCACGGCTGGAAATCAACAAGGAAGCCAAGCGAGAGGAAGAAAGGAAGAGGTCAATAAAGGGACAAAGCAAAAGCAGAAAGCCTACAGAAATGTATAAGAAATGTATCACTTCCTTCACATCACAGTTTTTGCACACTTCCAACACAAACAGTCCCCTCCATTCCCTACCATTTACTGTTTTGATTGTTATCCCACCCCAAAAGTCATGTGTCTGCATCCAAAGTCCAGGTGATGTGCCATGCTACCCAGCTGGCAAAATAAAGTTCCTGTTTAATTCCCACTGAGGATCTTGCCTCCTGCTCAGCCTCTCCTAAGTGGAAAGAGAGCTGTAAAACACTTTGCATGGGACAGCCTTTGGAAAATGTTTAGAAGCTTCAGTAGGTCCGAAATACTGTGACCAGAATGCCAACTGGGGCTAGTCATGGGGAGCATATAACTCCCTTGTTGAAAAGGAGACATTGGCTCCTGCTTCCATTCTGGTGTAATTCAAAGTGCTGGTCATGACCTATAAAGCTCTACACAGCTTAGGTCCAGCCTACCTGCAGGTCCATGTCTCCTATATGAACCTGACAGAGTCTTAAGATACTTTGTGGAGGGCTTCGTCTCAGTCTCACCATCACCACAGACCCATTTAGCGGGGATACTGGAAAGAGCCTCCTCAGTGGCTCCCACCATTTGGAATTTCCTTCTGTGGAAGGCCATTCTGGCTTCCTCTCGACTCTCCCTTTATCAGAAGGCAAAGACCTTTTGTTCAAGCAGCTGTCAATGATTAATTGCTTCCAGGGAGACTTTTTAAGGGATCTGTACTCTATTTTTATTTTTTATATTTCAACTTTTCAAATTATATTCTTTAAAAAAATTCCCCCCTTAACCCTTCACCTTTGGCCAGCTTCTGGTCAAAGGACATTAAACATAATGCCAAGTTTAAAAAAAAAAACATTTTAGCTATCAACTCAACTCACTTCTGACACAATAAATAAATAACCTCACAAAAATGAAAAAACAACATTTTCTTGCCTTCCAACCCAGACATATTAAATGCAAAATTTGTTATCATTCTATTATCATACTGTATATAAAATCTGAATCTCTACCATCCACATTCATTAATACTTTATGACTTGCAAGTATCTTCACCCCCCCACACACACACAGATAGATAGATAGATAGATATGAAAGAGAGAGATTAAAAAAAAAGCTCCCAAACATTTTATTAAGTGTCTATTGATTGGGTTGCTGTGAGTTTTCCGGGCTGTATTGCCATGTTTCAGAAGTATTCCCTCCTGACGTTTTGCCCACATCTATGGAAGGCATCCTCAGAGGTTGTGAGGTCTGTTGGAAATTAGGCAAGTGAGGTTTATATATCTCTGGAATGTCCAGGGTGAGAGAAAAAACTTTTGTCTGCTGGAGGCAAGTGTGAAAGTTGCAATTTGTCACCTTGATTAGCATTGAACAACCTTGCAGCTTCAAAGCCTGGCTGCTTCCTGCCTGGAGAATCTTTTGTTGGGAGGTGTTAGCTGGCCCTGATTGTTTCCTGTGTGGAATTCTCCCGTTTTCTGAATGTTGTTCTTAATTTCCTTGTCCTGAATTTAGAGTTTTTTTAAAACTATTAGCCAGACATAAAACAGAGGAATTCCAGACAGGATAAAACCAGGGCCAGCTAACAGCTCTCAACAAAGGATTCCCCCAGGCAGAAAGTAACCAGGCTTTGAAGCTGCCAGCCTATTCTATGCTAATTAAGCTGGCCAACTGCAAAATTCACACTTGCGTCCAACAGGCATTCCACAGATATATAAATCGCACTTGCCCAGTTTCCAATAGACCTCGCAATCTCTGAGGATGCCTTCCATAGAAGTGGGCAAAACATCAGGAGAGAATCCTTCTGGCAGATAATAATGATGATAATAATAATAATAATAATAATAATAATAATAATAATAATAATCTTTATTTGTACCCCGCCATCATCTCCCCAAAGGGGACTCGGAGCAGCTTACATGGGGCCAAGCCCGAACAAGAATTACAATATAACAATACAAATCGCAATCAAATAAATAACATAATATTAAAATATAAAACATCAAAGCATATAAAACAATATACACAAAACATACGAACTAAGCATAATGACAGAAGGACAAAGGGCGGGCCGCATGTACATAAAATGATTTAAAAACTCCAGGTGAGATAAGGGGGGAGAACTAATTGTAAGGGTGAACTCATAGAGAGATAGGAAATTAAGCCAACCTTTGTATGGGGGGGGGGGGGACTCCTGGGACAAGAACATGACCATATAGTCCAGAAAACTCAAAGCAACCCAATGATTCCAGCCATGAAAGCCTTAGACAACACATTGTGTATTGATTTCTCTTTTATCACACAGATAGCTGGTCAATTTCTGCTATTTCTAGCATTTTATAACCAATTTTCTCTTAAAAGCATATGATCTATACTCTTCCATAAAGTATTCTTGATGCTAAGAGCATAAAAGATTATATTAATTTTTATATTTATATTTATATTATACTTTTTATAATCTAAGGTTTGAACTGGATGACTTTTAAATTGGATATAATTTTTCGGGGTTTAGCTGAGCCACCTTAGGTCTTACACCATAAAAAGGGCCGTGTGTGTGTGTTGACCAACAAGCCAAAGGAAAGTTTTGTATCTTTTTACTGCAGGGGAAGTGGTGGTTGCTTTTTTACTTTAGCCTGTGCTTTTACCGTCACTTTGAGTCTGTCTGAGAAAGAGCGTTGGTTGCACTGCTGCTGGGCTGACACCAGTTTTTCTATCATGTCAAGCTGCTCCGATGTCATTTGAGGAGGGGGGGCTGCAGGAGATGGTGGGTTCTGGCGCACGACCACCATCCGGGCCTGATCATCTTCCTGCTTCTTCAGTTTCTTCAGTTGGATTTGCTCTTCAGACAGAACACCTAAACATATTGCATGGCATAAGAAACAGTGAGAGGAAGCCAGCCACAAAACAAAACAAACTACATAGTCACCAAAAAAAATAAAGACACTTCCCTCACTACAGAGGACTGGAAACACAAAGTCTCAGCATCTCTTGTTTCCGAGTATCAAGCTACATTGTAATTCTGCATCCAAGGCTGGCTTCTACATCAAATATATTCAACAACTTTTCTTCTCTTTATAACAATCCTGTACAATTAAATTTTTCATTATTTCAGTCACACTATAACCCTCAAGGAGCTCCCCAGTGGTGCAGTGGGTTAAATTTCTGAGCTGCTGAACTTGCTGACTGAAAGATTGGTGGTTCGAATCCACAGGACAGGGTGAGCTCCCACTGTTAGCCCCAGCTACTGCCAGCCTAGCAGTTTGAAAACATGCAGATGTGAGTAGATCAATAGGTACCGCTCTGATGGGAAGGTAACGGTGCTCCATGCAGTCATGCCAGCCACATGACCTTGGAGGTGCCTAAGGACAATGCAGGCTCTTCTGCTTAGAAATGGAGATGAGCACCACCCCCCAGAGTCGGACACAACTAGACTTAATGTCAAGGGGAAACCTTTACCTTTACTATAGCCCACAATATAATTTTGGCCTCTTGGGAATTTCTGCTCCTTGATCCATTTCTCATGTTTTGTTTGTTTGTTTGTTTGTTTTTATTTAAATGATGAAATCAAGATTCCAAATCTCATTACTGTGGGAAAAGGTATTATACTGTTCACTCACTCCTAAGGGGAGTGCAAACTTTACATAAAATAAGGTATATAGTATATGCATCCATCTTCCTTCATGTTTCTTCATGATTATCTGCTTGTTCTTTCCCCTTGGCACTGCCTGCAATTCTTCTTTATGCTTATGTTCAACTTATGTTCTCAGTATTCACTTCAGTATTAAGTGAAAGTTCAAAAATTACAACTGAAATATTTTCCAATTCAGTATATTATATTACTCATACAGATGAACTATCATATGCTTTCTCTGAGCACAGAGTTTAGGATACCACCACACAGAAGTTTTTATGTAGTAAGGTAAAGGTTTCCCCTAGTGTTCACCTCCATTTCTAAACAAAAGAGTCGGCATTGCCCGTAGACACCTTCTAGGTCATGTGGCCAATATGACTGCATGGAGCACAGTTACCTTCCCACTGGAGCAGTACCTATTGATCTATTCATATTTGCATGCTTTCAAACTGCTAGGCAGAAGCTGGGCCTAACAGTGGGAGCTCACCCCACTCCCGAGATTCGAACCAATAATCTTTTGGTCAGTAAGTTCAGCGGCTCAGTGATTTAACCCGCTGCACCACTAGGGGACCCTTTTTATGTAGTAAAGAGCCCCAATAATCCCATTGTTTCTATATGTTGCTTTTCCCCACATCCTCATTACTCATGTTGCTCACAAATGTCCATTCTTGCCACTTACACTGCTCTCGCATGCCAGCCTCCTGGCATTTGCGCAAACGGCACTCTTGACACTTTCTGCGCATGTACATGTCCATCTCACATCTGCCACCATTCTTGCAAACATAGTGCGCTCCCTTGATGACGCTGCGTCGGAAAAATCCTTTGCATCCCTCACAGCTCAGGACGTTGTAGTGGAAGCCAGAAGCCTTGTCGCCACATACGCTGCACACCTCATTCCCAAGCATCTTGGGCGCTGGGCCCTTCTTCCGTTTCAGGGGTGGTTTTTCTGTAAATGTACACAAAGGAGAAAGTGTATCAGCCAAGAATTCTTAGAGTCAACAATAATAAGAGCAACGATTTAGCTCGAGGGGGCGTATAACATAGTGAAAACACACAAATAAAACATAATACCATTAAAATTCATATATTAAAACACAAGGGACAATGATTAAAACACCAATATTAATAACATGTAAAGTTAAAATTCATTGCTTAAAATTGACTGGGTAAACCAGCCAGAAAAGATAAGTCTTTAATTCTGCCCCAAATTTTGACAGCTCATTTCACTGTCAAATATCTTTCTTCGGGTCATTCTACAGCAGGCATAAACAAACTTCAGCCCTCCAGATGTTTTGGACCTAGGTGACTGGGATTTCTGGGAGTTGAAGTCCAAAACATCTGGAGAGCTGAAGTATACAGAAGTTAGCAAAAGTCAACATGCCTCTGAGAACTGTACCTCCTGAAAAGGATACAAGAAATTCCTCCTCCATTAAAATCCCTCTGCATACTATTATGTTTATATTTATGTATATCCTGCTTTATCTTTCCTAAAGGACACTCAAAAGCCAGAATATTGGATTCTTTCTAACCAATAGAAATCTGCAAATTAGCACATATGCATTCAAACAAACACACACATGTATAGATATATAAGATACTTAAGCAAAATATTTCTTATCCTAACATGGTTCTGTGAGATCTAAATATTATAACCTAAAGCAGTGGTTCTCAACCTGTGGGTCCCCAGGTGTTTTGGCCTACAACTCCTAGAAATCCCAGCCAGTTTACCAGCTGCTAGGATTTCTGGGAGTTGAAAGCCAAAACATCTGGGGAACCATAGGTTGAGAACCACTGACGTAAAGGCACGAGATACTATCTGACCTTGAAAGCTAAGCAGGGTAGACTTTGTTAGTACTTGGTCAGGAGACTGCCAATGAATACCAAGTGATGTAGGCTATACTTTACTTCAGAAAAAGAAATTGACAAAAGTACCTCTGAGCATCCATTGCCTAAGAAAACCCTATGAAATTCATGCGGTCACCAAAAGTCAACATGCAACTGGACGGCACAAGCACACACCACAATAATTGAGCTTTAATGGGCTAACCAGTGGAGGGCAGCATTGTTTAATTTACTTTGCCTAGAGTCTGATTATTTTTGATGAGAAGCTGAAAAGAGCATTGCTTCCTGAATTGTAATATACACACATTTATCCCTTTTTATTTTCTGTTTCACTATCTCTTTCAGTCAGTATTCACAGGCTTTTGAAACACAAAACGCAGAGCAGAAAAACAAGGAATGTGTACTCCGATCATAGACAGCCCTCCTGCCTTCTTTTTTAAAAAAGGAATCACTTTTGTCTGTCCTCCAAGCATTCAACACTAGATAGGTACATTGATTTGCTTGCTCAGTAAACCAACAGTTACAGCAATGTTTGGATCTCGTCACCATTGCTAAATACAAAACCTTTCCAATTGCTGTTCTGTACAGGCTCTGTCCCTTGACTCTTTGACTACTGAATGCAACCTTTCCACCACCCTTTAGAAAATCAGTTTTCATTAGTATATGCACCTCATGCCCTCTAATAAAGCTTTCCCCTGACATTAAGTCTAGTTCTACCCAACTCTGAGGGGTGCTGCTCATCTCCATTTCTAGGCCGAAGGGTTGGCGTTGTCCCTAGACACCTCAAAGGTCATGTGGCCAGCAGAAAATGTTATCTGCCTCAAGCACTTTGTCATGCCCATAATAATTCTTCACAATTCTTCCCCTCTAACACATACCTATATGCTCAAGTGGAATCTCTGAGCTATGGAAAAGTGCAAAGCCTTTCTCCTCCATGTCAAATACACCTGTCTTCTTCCCATGACTTTGTGCCACAAGCTGTGTCGGACCCATGATGGTCTTCCGTAGACGGGTTCACATTCTTCTCGCTTCTATAGTATAGTTATGATCACGATGAACATATCCATTCTTACAATAATCCTTGGAAAATTGAGATGCCTCTGAAAGAGACCTGAAAGCCAAGGAAAGAAAACACAATTCTTGAAATCACTGTGAAGTCCCACCAATCCAGGCTGCCTCCTTTTCTACTGATTTGTTCCCTAATAATTGCCATCTCTTCCCTTTTACCTGAGAGGTATGAAATTTCTTAACTTCATTCCTTTGCAGGATAACATATAGGCAACTTTCCTACTTAAAACCATTCCACTAATGGAAAGACGGCTAAAACAGCTTCAGATACATAAACTTTAAAAGTACAAATAGTCAAAGTAAAAATAGCAAAGCCAGCTATAAAGAAATAAATCACGTTGTGCAGTCAGTTGTCTTAACGGCATAGAGTCTAAAGTGAAGACTTCCCATTGGTAACAATGTCACTTTGATAGAGGTTTGTGAAAAAAATATTATTGGCAGATACAAACTTGACAAAGTGAGAAAGGGAGTCAAAAGAAAGAAAGAAAGAAAGACAGAAGTTTACAAGATAACACAGTGCCTTCCATGCTATTTAAAATAAAGCTTGCTGAATCCAACTAATAAACAAAACCCAATTTTTTGGCCCAGCTTAATCCATGGAAGAATCTTGGACTTTCTGGACATTCTGGAAGAGATTTCTGAGGCAGGAAACGTGTTTGTGTCTTAGATGTTCCTGAAGGTATGGGGTTTTTGGAAGAACATTTAATCAAATCTTATGTTAAAGAAAGATCTTACAGGTCATAAGTAAAGGAAAAGGTTTCCCCTGACATTAAGTCTAGTGGTGTCTGACTCTGGGGGGGAGGGGGGTGCTCAGCTCCATTTCTAAGCCAAAGAGCCGGCTTTGTCCATAGACACCTCATAGCATCATAGAATTATAGAGTTGGAAGAGACCTCATGGGCCATCCAGTCCAACCCCCTGCCAAGAAGCAGGAGAATTGCATTCAACGCACCCCCAACAGATGGCCATCCAGCCTCTATTTAAAAGCCTCCAAAAAAGGAGCCTCCACCACACTCCGGGGCAGAGAGTTCCACTGCCGAACAGCTCTCACATGACCTCAAAGGTCATGTGGCTAGCATGCCTGCATGGAGCACTGTTACCTTCCCGCACAAGCGGTACCTATTGATCTACTCACATTTGCATGTTTTCGATCTGCCAGGTTAGCAGAAGCTGGGTCTAATGGTGGGAGCTCACCCCGCTCCCCGGATTCAAACCGCCAACCTTTCGGACAGCAAGTTCAGCAGCTCAGCAGTTTAACCCACTGCGCCACCAGGGGGCCCCTCTTAGGTCATCAAAGGACTAAAAATTACAGCAGAACACAACTGCAAATCTTATATCAAAGGGACCAGTATCCCCAGTTTCACTCATTCATATCTGACAAAATATTCCTTTCTAGACATTTTTAGATTTTCCAGCAAAACTCAGTGGTATTCTTGGGCTAGAAGTCCATCATATCCACACATAGTCTAAAACATATTCACCACTGATATGAGAGTCATACTGTAATAATAAAAGAATTTCTATACACACAACAGAAATCTGAGTGATGCAATTCAATTGTCTGCTGGTCTCAACTTAGTAATTAAGCAACACTGGTGGGAACTAATATTTCGGGGCAGAATGTTCCAGAAAACAGGGAGGCAAGTCAGACAGCTGAAGCCACAGAGAAAGACACAGATTCATGCCTAGAATAATTTCAAAAGTTACATGTCATCAATCATGCAAAGATGCCAAGTCAAACAGCAAAAGTGAAACTTGCTGCTGTGTAGATATTTTAATCCATGGGGCAGTTTTTGACAGGGCAAGAATTTGAAGTTATTTACATTTGGCTAGCCTGAAAGGTAAAGGTAAAGGTAGTCCCCTGACATTAAGTCCAGTCATGTCTGACTCTGGGGTGTGGTGCTCATCTCCATTTCTAAGCCGAAGAGCCAGCGTTGTCCATAGACACCTCCAAGGTCATGTGGCCGGCATGACTGCATGGAGCGCCGTTACCTTCCCGCCGGAGCGGTACCTATTGATCTACTCACATTTGCATGTTTTCAAACTGCTAGGTTGGCAGAAGCTAGGGCTGACAGCGGAAGCTCACGCCGCTCCCCGGAATAGAACCTGCGACCTTTCGATCAACAAGCTCAGCAGCTCAGTGCTTTAACCCACTGCGCCACCGGGGGCTCTAGCCTGAAAGGAAGGCTATTATGAAGCAATCATAAGAAGTCTCTATAGACTAAGGTGGAGCCCCCCAGTGGCGCAGTGGGTTAACCCACTGAGCTGCTGAACTTGCTGATTGAAAGGTGGAAGGTTTGAATCCGGGGAGCGGCGTGAGCTCCCGCTGTTAGACCCAGCTTCTGCCAACCTAGCAGTTTAAAAACATGCAAATGTGTGTTGATCAATAGGTACCACTCCAGCAGGAAAGTAATGGCACTCCACACAGTCATGCTGGCCACATGACCTTGGAGGTGTCTATGGACAATGTTGGCTATTCAGCTTAGAAATGGAGATGAGCATCAACCCCCAGGCGGACACGACTGGACTTAATCTCAGGGGAAAGCCTTTACCTTTACCTATAGACTCAGGTAGTATTATTTTCACAGAGCTGAAAATATTCTGGAAAAAGGATCCAGGCCCCGGTTACAGTGTTGCTTTTTATTCTGCTTTTTATTCTGCTTTTTTTTTTTTTTTGCTGTTGTTTATGTATTTTAATATGCTGTATTTTAACTATGTTGATCGGGCTCGTCCCCATGTAAGCCGCCCGACAAGTTGTTGTTGTTGTTGTTGTTGTGGTTACCTGGGGTTAATCTGATTTATGTTGGCCATTTTAACATTTCTGTTTCCATTTTGAAATGGCTTGTATGACTTGGCTTGTTTCATTCCTTGCCTGTCACCTAATCTTGCTCCTTCTCCTGTCTAGTGCACAGGAAGGTAAATCAACCTTAATACATCCACATATTACAAAAAGAAGATTTCTGTTGAGAGACAGAGGTTTAAAGCTTTATCCTTCCTGACCTCCTTAAACATTCCCAGAAGTGGACTTTCAGCTATTTCCAGATGTGTAGGGATGGATAGCATTTCTCTCAATTCATATGATACTGTGACAAAAAAATAGTTCCTGGATTGCTGAAGTCACTCACTGTCACTCAAAGGATTCAAGAGATATTAATCAATACAGTAGCAATAGAGATGACAATTTCCCTCCTAAGTTCAAGGTCCAAAAGTAGTTTGCATTCAATTAACTCGGTGTGAGAGGAGAGAAGGGGGTAGAGGTTTATCCTTCCTAAATTCAGTACATACATTTCATAGTTTTATTATCTAAAGCAGTAATTTTGTTCGGTTCAATATCTTTATTAATGATGCAGATGAAGGGTTAGAAAGCATGATGATCAAGCTTGCAGATGACATCAAATTGGGAGAGATAGCCAATACCCCAGAAGACAGGAACAGAATTCAAAATGATCTCAACAGATTAGAGAGATCATCCAAAATTAACAAAATGAAGTTCAACAGGGACAAATGCGAAACACTTCACTTAGGCAGAAAAAATGAAATGCAAAGATACAGAATGGGGGACGTGTGGCTTGAGAGCAGTGCGTGTGAAAAAGATCTTGGGAGTCCTCGTGGACAACAAGTTAAACATGAGCCAACAATGTGATGTGGCGGCAAAAAAAGCCAATGGGATTTTGGCCTGTATCAATAGGAGTACAGTGTCTAGATGCAGGGAAGTCATGCTACCCCTCTATTCTGCCTTGGTTACTAGACCACACCTGTATCCAATTCTGGGCACCACAATTGGAATGTGTCCAGAGGAGGGCGACTAAAATGATCAAGGGTCTGGAGAACAAGCCGTGTGAGGAGCGGCTTAAAGAGCTGGGCATGTTTAGCCTGGAGAAGAGAAAGCTGAGAGGAGACATGATGCCCATGTATAAATATTTGAGGGAATGTCATAGGGAGGAGGGAGCAAGCTTGCTTTCTGCTGCCCTGGTGACTAGGACACCAAACAATGGCTTCAAACTACAAGAAAGGAGATTCCACCTGAACATTAGGAAGAACTTTCTCACTGCGAGAGCTGTTCAGCAGTGGAACTCTCTGCCCCGGAGTGTGGAAGAGACGATTTTCCTGCTTTTTGGCAGGAGGTTGGACTGGGTGCCCCACAAGAGCTCTTCCAACTCTATGATTCTATGAGTATTTGAAATTAGGACTAGAAACCTAAGTAAGGAGATATAAACACTAACACAAAGAAAAGATCACAAAAGGATACAGGAACTGTAGTGCATGAGGACACAATGGAAAGCATACAAGTTCCTCAGTTGTACAATCTGCGGTACATCTGGAAAAGTAGCAAATGTCTTATGAAGTTCTTATGAGTAGTGAACTACATTTCTTTGCTTATTATTCCCAAGGGAATGAATTCAAGCTGGAAATACTGGGACAACTTCCTTTCAATTCCCTTGAAGACTTATAAAAACAAAAGGGCATCATAATAGTAACTTCCCAAACTTTTATGTTCAAAATGAAGGATAAAAACTGCTCTAGCTTCTTTAAAGCCAGCAATTGATATGGGAACCGTACACTGCATTTTTTTTACTGCTACAGATTAAGATGGCTACAATTTTGTTGCTTTTTAAGAAAAATGCTTTCTGAAGCCTTTTTACTAAGTGCTGAATTCTCATTTTTACCTTAGTGGATCCACAAGCAACTTCAGTGTGTTGAATCTTATCTGATGTTGCTTGACAAAAAATTCCAAAATGAGAAATGAAGCATCTGAAACAAAAGATAAGTATTATGTCCAACAGGAATATGCTTTATGAAACAAGGGATATTTTTTTGAGCCAAAGCTATACAACAATTCATGCTGCATCCACTTAGAAGTATGATGCTTCTCTACACAAGGTTTGTATGTTCCATTTTCAGTGCTGAAATCCCCAAGGGGAACCTGAGAGCGTGGACTTGTGAACAACAGAGAATTTAAATTATAAATATATTTATTTATTTATTTATTTATTTGGTGCATTTATTAACCGCCATTCTCAGCCCTCTAGGGCGACTCATGGCGGTGTACAGCATAAAAAGGCAGTTTACAAAAAAAGGCAATTACAAACACCATATTAGCAATACAGTAATACAACAATTATAAAATTACAAAATTACACTAACTAATCCGCTTCGTCTCATAGTAGAATCGTAACCAATCTCGTATTCCTTGTTCCATTATATATATGTTCCCTTCCCTTTGTTCCCAGAACTAGCACCAAATACAGCTCACAGCTAATTTAGAAATAGCTACAGAAAGGTATAGGAAAATGCATATAATCAGTTATGCTACAATACAAATGTTTTATTCTATATGTTTATTTCTAAAATAAACTATATCAAATTATTATTATATTAAAAGTAATTCAAAAGGCACCAACATTAGCAATCCATTAAAAGTGGTTTTCTCAATAGCCACTCAATTACCAAAAGTTTCCAAGGAAACAAAGGTCTTTTGCCAGCCAACAGAAAATAGTAAGGGTTGTGCAGAAATAATGGTATGCTTTTATGCTCTCTCACACAGGTTTTAAAAATTCAATATACTGAATATTCAGTACAGGAGAACAGAGAGAAAATGCCAAAAAATATAAATAATTGTGAAATCAACGTTAACAGGTCAGTTTCTGTGTACTAATATAAAACAAGCCTATACTTTTGTTAAAATCTATTATTTGGATATTGCATTTCCTAAGCCAACTCATAAAATAATGCACAAGCCTTTAAGTTCTCTTTGTTATCCAAGATGGTAAACAGAGACTATTAAGGCTGTGAAGTCTCTTGTACACTATTCTTGACAGAAATCACTCCCCATACCAAAAAAGGAAAATTCATAATTGTAAATAAAAATAATTAAATGTTCAGTTTGTTTGCAATGTTTAGTAAAACCTGGATAAAGCATTACATTGATTAATGCCCAACTAAAAGATCATAGCATTTTTCAGTGCTTCACATTTACTGTCTTCAGCACAAAGTCACAGTCCTGTATTGTCGAAGGCTTTCATGGCCGGAATCCATGGGTTGTTGTAGGTTTTTCCGGGCTATATGGCCATGTTCTGGAGGCAATTTTTCTCCTGACGTTTCGCCTGCATCTATGGCAAGCATCCTCAGAGGTAATGAGGTCTGTTGGAACTAGGAAAAATGGGTTTATATATCTGTGGAATGACCAGGGTGAGACAAAGGACTTTTGTTTGCTGGGGCTAGCTGTGAATGTTTCAGCTGATCACCTTGATTAGCATTCAATGGCTTGGAAGCGCCTGTGTTTGCAAAACAGAACATGACTATTGGTAACAGGATGCCTTGGAGATCTCTCATTTCATACAGTTGCTATGTGTCAAAGGGACTGAACATGACAATAAAGCTGCATTTAGTATGGCCACTTACCCCAGCAGGTCTGTAGAAAAAAAATGAATTATGTTTTTATTGTAGTCAACCAACCACTTTTGTCATTAGCACAAACAAAAAGGGGTGAGGTTTTCAGAACCACGGACCACCATGATTCTTACTCTGTCAATGACCATCTGTATCACCAAGTCAAGTGTCTGCTTGGGAATGGATATCAGCTGAAATCCACTGTTCATCCTGCCTTAAATTTGATCCTACCTCACAGTCACTGCTTGTCACAAGAAAATATAAAGTACAGGTGCTCCCTTTTCTAGTAGTTTGTTTACATGTCCTTCTTCATTTTTACCTCTGCAATGGAGCCCAACTCAATTCCAACTTGCTTGAGTATGCCAATACTTCCCACTTTAAATGTACTGGGAGAACCAGTTCCCTCTAATAATGTAACTAGAGCCTAAAGGAAATATGTAAAAGCCCAGTGGCAAAGAGTACACGTTTGGTTTTAGAGTTCCTGCAAATCTTTTTTATATTACTCCAATTACAACAAAATACTGTTTAAAACATACCTGATAACTGTAACTGTGGAGTGCACTGCTTTGCCAGTTCTTGTTCTTAGTACCAGCCCCAGATGCCAAAAGATAGACTATTTGGCAAGCCTTCCTCTCAAAAGCACAACTATAGGGAAGAGCACAGCCCATGGGGAAGTAAATGTAAGTGAAAGGCTGAGAGAAGCATATTATTCCTTGGTTTGTGGTCACACTAGTGTCTCCCATCAGGCGCCAAGTACTTCCAAGATGTTGGCATCGGCCCTTATCCCCACCCTTAGAAGTAGCTGAGCAACACAGAGAACAAATGTCCTAAGGTCAACTTTTTGCCATGTGAGACAGAATCATATAACTATAGCATTGGAAGATACTCCAAAGACCATCCATACAGTCTGCAGGAATACACAATCAAAGCACCCCTGACAGATTGCTATCTGGCCTCTTGCTTAAAAACATACAGAGAAGGAGGCTCCACCACACTCTAAGACAGAGTATTCCACTACCAACAGCAAGTTCTTCCTGATGTTTCGGTGGGATCTTTTTACTGCAGTTTGAATCCATTGCTCCACGTCCTAGTCTCTGAAGCAGTAGAAAATAAGCTCGGCCCTCCTCAACATGACATCCTCTCCAATATTTAAATATGGCTATCATGTCAGCTCTTAATCCTCTTTTCTCCAGGCTAAACATGCTTAGCTTCCTAAGCTGCTCCTCACAGGCCATGGTTTCCAAGTCTTTTACCATTTTGGTTGTCCTCTTCTGGATATGTTTCAGCTTGTTAATATGCTTGAATTGTAGTGCCCAGGACAGGACACAGTCTTCCAGGTATGGTCAAAAACAAATGTAATTATGCAAGACATTACCAAAATAAACCAATTAAGATTATCATAAGCTTCACTTTGGAATAACATCTCATACCCAAAGGAGCCTAATGGTTCACTTCACCACCGCATACTTTGTGCTTCCCCATAGTAAAGTCGCTATTCTTTTCATTCACAGTAACAGCTTTACTTTTGTCTTCATTCTCTAATTTCCTAAGGTTTAAAAAATCCTTCAATATATATCATCTGTATAAGAATGTGAAACCATACAAGACCTGACCCCAACAACTAGGGCAGAGTGCAAGGCGGGATGGGGAAAGGACAAATTGCTTAAACCTGAACTTCAGGGGGAAAATCCCTTCAAAGTCATAGAATCCTCAGCTACAAAAATACTGGTAGTTTTTCCAAGTTAGGGCTTAAATCTGTCCCTTTAGGCTGATTGTCCTGTCAAAATCTCTCCATCCACAGTTCTTCTTCCCGCAACCTCATCTCATATAAAAATATACATATACCTATCTATTTTCTCCACAGGAAAAAAAAACAATGAAGTGGGAATTGGATAAGAAATAATGTTGCCTATGGTTGTTGTTGCATGCCTTCAAGTAGTTACTGATTTATGGCAAACCCTAAGGAAGACTTGCTTTTTACTCATTTGACCTCATGGACCAGCCCACGCCAGAGCTCCCTGTCAGCCACGGCCACCCCCAGCTCCTTCAAGGTCAAGCCAGTCACTTCAAGGTTAACATCCATCCATCTTGCCCATGGTCAGCCCCTCTTCCTTTTTCCTTCCATTTTCCCCAGCATTATCTTCGCCAAGTACTTCATCTTTGCCTCTAATATTCTTCCCTCCAGTGAGCAGTTGGGCTTTATTTCATTGAGTATGGACTGGCTTGGTCTTCTCACGATCCAAGGCACTCTCAGAATTTTCCTCCAACACCACAGTTCAACCACAGTGGGGATAAGGGCTGATGCCAACATCTTGGAATTTATCTTCCTTTGCTCAGCCTTCCTTATGGTCCAGCTCTCGCATCCATAGGTTACTAAAGGGGATACCATTGCTTTAACTATGCGGATCTTCATTGCCAGTGTGATGTGTCACTATTTTATCGAGATTGATCATTCCTCTTCTCCCAAGAAGTAAGACTGGCAACCATATTATAGGGTTTTGTTAGCAAAATTTATGCAGAGGAAGTTTGACATTGCCTTCCTGAGGCTGAAAGGGTGTGACTTGCTCAAGATCACTCAGGGAGTTTCCATGGCTGACTACAGATTCTCCAAGGAAAGAATCAGTACATGGATTAGTGTATCTCATATCACCTTTAGTTATTTATTTTACTCATTTATATTCTGTTTCTTTCCCAACAAAGGGACTCAAGGCAGCTGACAACATGTTAAAAATTAATACGATACATAAACAACCTTCCTGATCCTGCATCACATTTGTCTAATCTTTTTGCTTAAAAAAAACCCCTGCCTATGCTGTAGGAAGCATTTTTAACACACTGGACTATTTGGTACAATCAATTCAAAATGCACTGTGTAAGAACGTGAAACTCAATGGTAACCATACATGACTCAATCCCAACAAAGACCATGGTTTTAAACTATGTTCTGGCATTGCAAGAATTTATCTAAAAGCAGACAGAGGATCTCAGAGAAGATCTTAAAAACAGTGGGATGCTTCAATAAAACAAATTAGAAAGAATCAAAAGAACTATTCCTCCAACCTTGGGCATAAAAATTCAGATGATGCAATAATTAGCTTCCAATAAAAAATAGTCCACTTGGAAAGTCTGCACAATTGTCAGGATCTTGCTAGTGACATGTATGTGTTAAATGTGACTTATGCACACAAATGCTCCCTTTTTGGAAGGAGGTGCTCTTCTGTGCAATGTTGTCAAGCCCTAGGAGAAGCCACTCCTGCTGCTGTATATCAGTGAGGAGGGGAAAGCAGGGAAACAGTTCAGAAGATGAAGGGCACAAATGGCGCAGTAAAAATATTTGAGTTTTTGTCATCTATGCATGTCCT